ATTATCGTAACCACAATCCCGTCCTCTTTTCCCCGAATGTGACCTACCGAATAACACTTATCACCGGGTTTGTACTGACAAGAGAAACGCAATGGGTGCCACATGTGAAGCAGGATTTGCTTACCCCTTCCGGAGCACCTGAGATCACCCCCCGGTTTTTGGTTGAGCCGGTACGTGTTGATCAGTCTTTATTTTTCTTTGTTGTGTTTTGTGTACTGTTGTTTCATTTTTGGGTCTTTTTCTTATTTTGCCATGGCGTTGTCAGTTTATTTTCGACTTATGAGTTTGAATGTCTCTTTGTTAAAGTTTACCTCTCTTTTATGTAGGATAGCGATCGCCATTGACCACTAAACAATACACTTTATCGCTATTTTGAAATCTATCCCGCTTGACCCGAGAATCTGTCCCGCTTGAACTTTTGACGTCATACAACAATCACTTTTCCATTAATTTAAATTGTGGCGTCAGATATTTTCTATTAGAGTCGATCTGGGTAATTCCGTACACTTTTGGTCCTAAATGAATGTCATTTGGTTCCCTGTTTGATACTACAATGTTCTAGAAGGAAACCGGTAACTAGATCATTCGTAGATAGTATTAATGTTTGACTTTTTCCATGTCATTCGACATAAAATACCGAGAATGAGCATCCGAACAGAAAAGTCACTGTTGCTAATATCGTACGGATGTCGTGTATTTCCGTAAACCTTGATGTGTAATTCCGTACATTGATTAAATTCAAAATAGGATTGCTAATTAGAAATGACTTGGACTAGTTAATTTAATAACAGGATCATCTTCAAGTCTTTCAATCTTTACTTAAATTCACAGTATCACAGCTCCATGTCGTGATGTAGATCCTCGCAGTATTTTTTGATAACAGAATACAACATTATAAACAGTCAAAGATAACTCGATCAATTAACTGCACTTTTGATTATAGATATATATTGGCAAAATTGAGTATATATGCAAAAATTGCAAAAGAAGGACCAAAAAAACAAGTGTCCTAAGATTTTTGTTTGTATTTAAGCTTTAATAGATTATTAGTGTAAATTTAGATATGATTATGCTGACTTGTGTTTCAGACAGTAACGTTACACACACACAGTAACGTTTAGTTGCGAATAACACATGGACACCAGGGCGAGAACATGACGGTTTATGCGATATGCATGACTTTAGTTTGACAAGTGATATGGGTCTATATTACACTCATCTGGGATTTAACGTTCTAGTTTAGTCCGAAGAAAGATATGTCAACCTATTCAGAAAAGAATTTTAACTCTGAGCCAACCGGTCTTCACAATCAAGTCCTGCATTGTAAGCGGAGAGGCTGCAGTAGATTTAAGTCCTGAATTAAAGCATCATCTTCAATTGTCCCAGCAGCATTTCATGGAACATTTTCTTAATAACGTATATATTTAACATCTTTCATAGCTGTTTACCAACTTTTTGTGGTATAGTTTTTAGCTCACCGTTCCGAAGTTACGGTGAGCTTTTGCCATCACTTGGCGTCCGTCGTCGTCTGTTGTCGTCTGTCGTCGTCCGTCGTCGTCTGTCGTCGTCGTCCGTCTGGTGTAAACTATTTCAAACATCTTCTCCTCTGAAACTACTGAACCAATTCCAACCAAACTTAAGCTGAATGATGCTTAGGGTATCTAGAATAAATTTTGTGTTTTATTTACTGTTTCGTCAAATAACATGGCCGCCATGGCTAAAAATACAACATAGGGGTAAAATGCAGTTTTTGGCTTATATCTCAAAAACCAAAGCATTTAGAGCAAATCTGACATGGAGTTAAAGTGTTCATTAGGTGAAGTTCTACCAGCCCTGAAATTTTCAGTTAAATCTGGTAACCCATTTTTGGGTTGCTGCCACTAAATTGGTAATTTTAAGCGGAAATTTTGAAGATTTTGGTTATTATCTTGAATATTATTAATGATAAAGATAAACTGTGAACAGCAAAAATGTTCAGCAAGGTAAGATCTACAAATAAGTTCGTATGATCAAAATTGTCAATTGACCCCTTAAGGAGTTATTGCCCTTTAAAATCAATTTTTCATGATTTGTTCATTTAGTTTGCTTACTTTAAAAAATCTTCTCCTTTGAAACTGCTGAATCAATTTCAGCCAAACTTGGGCTGAATGAGTTTCAGAGTATCTAGTATAAATTTTGTATTTTATTTTCTTGTACGTCAAGAAACATAGCCACTATGGCTAAAATGAAACACAGGGGTAAAATGCATTTCTTTGATTTTGAAGAAATTATGACAGATACAAAGAACATTTCAATGGAAGTTTTAAGCCATTCATTAATATATATTGAAAAGCAAAAATAATCATTGATGAAAGCAAAAAATTACAGGTGAGCGATTCAGGCTCTTGAGAGCCTTTTGTTTAGGTTTTATTGTTCGGGAGGAAAACTGACAATCCTAGTCAACTATTATTCGAACACACCTGCATGCATGTGCGAGGTTTGAAGTCACAACTTTAGTGTTGACTGGCTTAGTAGCGATATATGAAATGAACTACTTAGACCACTGGGGCACAGAGGACCCTCGCAATTAAGGAGGAATAGTTTGAAAACACATCAACGTCTATCTCTATTAATCAATAGGCAGCAGACTGGTGGTTCATAGAATCAAAAATAACATATTTTGACCTCTTTCTTCCCATATCGAATTGATGTTGTTTTAAGTATATTTTTTTTTCTGTTTGTTTTATTTTGCAATTAATTTGATTATGTAACAAAAATCATTAATATAAGGAAAGCTAAGTCAACATTGAAAGTCTCTTTATCACTCAATGAACATTAACATATTTAAAAGCTGGCGTGTACGATATTAGACTCATTACATTTGCATGTAAAATATCATGTAGGGTAATCCCGTACAACCACTCTCAGTCCGTTTTATTGGAAATGATTGCACTTATACTACATGGAAAAGTATCTGTCAATTGCAAACTATTTCTGGCTTTCATTTTCCATCAGTTTTCTAAATTTCGATTAAAATAGAAAGATCTTACATTAAATTAACCAAACTTAGAATTTACACAAATCTGGTGACTTTTTGGACGAGATCATCTTTTCAAAAAGCCCGCGAACAAAACTTTCCGACAAATGGCACTGAAATGTGTACATATTCTATGACAGAAAATCATAAAAATATTAACATACAACATGTACAGGATTGTACATATCTTATTATCAGTAGATAATATTAAAACAAACTTTTATTTCTCAATTTTATCAGAATAACAAGCGAAATGTAATATGTACGGAAATTGCCCGTCTGTACGAAATTACCCGGATCGACTCTATGACGTCAAAATTTTACGGGAACTTTTGTGATGTCCAGTAATGGCGGACTTTTTTTTTTGCTGACAAATAGCGATAAGGTGTATAGACGTATTTACACTTGTATGCAAATATTTCCGCTTAAAATCTCACAAATTCCCGTAAAATTTGACATCACAATTCAAAAAAATTGACGACATAATTAAAAAGTGATTGTTGCGTGACGTCAGAAGGTTATTCGGAGACAGATCTTAGCCTGGAATCCTGACCAAATCTAATACTTCGTCGAGTAGTGAGTCAGGATCCCAGGCTAAGACAGATCTAAGATCATTCGGAGATAAAATTCAGCTAAATACCAAAAGTGTAAATGTAAAATAAAGTAAAGTAATCTTTATTTAAAGTCGGGTTGCATATATACATAATAACAAGGAACATGAGCTCTTAAGAGCTCTTTAACCGACTGATATTAATAAACAAAACATACATGTAATAACATCAGATTCATATACAACACAAACATACAGACAACACATACATGTATTAATCATGTTAATACATAGATAGCACATGCAAAATAAAAACTAAGCAAGATATATATTAAAACAACTGTCAAATATCAGCACATAGTAACACACAATATGTGTATCCAAGTAGCACATGCAAAATTAAACACTACAAAGCACAAGCAAAAGACTGCAAGCAGCTACAGCACAGGTAATGCATAAACAAAGCAAATAAATAAAAAATAAAAATAACTGCAAAAAATAAAAAAATAAAACATAAAACAAACAGCAGGATTCAAGGTCAAGTCATGTGGCAGCAAGGAGTTACATTATTTACAAGAACTGCAGGTTCAACTTTCTGAAAAACATCAGGTGGAGATAAAATTTTTGAATTGGCCAAGTTGATAAGCTCCTTGCCTCATTTAGCAAGGAGTTCCAGAGTCTTGCTGCCTCATAACTAAAGCTTTTCTTACCATACCTTGTTGTTTTTGGCCGTGGTATATCCGCTATGCCTTTGTACCTGAAGTTATATGAATTTTCTTTAATGTTTATTAAATTATGTAGGAATTCTGGACTTGATTTATTAATCATCATTTGTATTAGTCTCTAATGCCATGGTTCTCATTCTTCTGATTTTTAGTGCTGGTAGATTAGACTGTTCAAGGAGTGTATCGTAAGAATTTTTGTAGTCATCATAAATGAATCTGAGTGCTCTTTCTTGTATTTTTTCTATTTTCTTTGTGTTTTATTCACTGCAGAAGTGCCATGTGAGAGGACAATAGCTGAGGTTTGACAAGATAATTGAGTGGTATATTGTAAGTTTAGAAAGTCTGGTGAGATGAGTCCCGATTCTTTTTAGTACGTTTAGTTGTCGTGCGGCTTTTTTTACATATATTTGAAAAGTGAGTGTTGAAATCCAGTTTAAAGTCTATTGTTACACCTAGAAGTTTCACCTCATCGTCACATATTTTATGTTGTTGAATACGTTTATCCCCTGTGAATAGACCATTGAAACCATTAGAAAAACTGAAACATGTAAATTATTATTAAAAACTGGTAGAGGGTTAAATTGACCAAAAATTAGAAGGAAAAAACTTTCATTGCGACTCCAGACTGCTCACACGCGTTATACAGTGCGTGTCACGAATACTGTACTGTAGTAAATACGAAACTGTTTGTAATTGACTTCCGTCCGCTGTTGAATTAATTTTACTCACAACAAAATATTAGCATTTCCACTTCCGATATTTTGAAAGGTTTGTAATCTTCACGTTTATTCATTACATTTTGCTCTATATCAGAATTATGTAACAAGGATCTGAAAATGTTTTAATATTTGCCGAGAAAAATTGGCAAACCCACCCATCTTGCAACATTCAACAACAGGTCAGTCATGAAATCGAATGTGTCAACTTGTGCACAGCATTGTTATGGTTTGCACTGTTCATTGAAGTTAAATTTCAAATATGATAAAACTCTGATGTTCAATATTATATAAAACAACTATTGACAATATTCATGCACATTTACCCTACACTGAATGAATTGCATGATACAAATTTAATATCATTGAAAATAAAACCTGAATTACCTGTCTATTCCATGCCCTCAAAGGCCAAAAAAAAGGTTAATAAATTAGTTTTATGTAAGAATATAAAACATATCATTCAATAGGTAGCAATACACATGATCTTCAAATTTGTGCTTTCTCCTGGAAAAATTTGACATCACAAAGCAAATGTCTTCATGTCATGTCACAATGGCCTATGACACATTTTCCCCAAATGACCCCATGCGAGGTCAACTGAGGCAGTTCATTCATTAAAAAGAATTAGGAAACTCGTCTATGAATCTTTAATAACATGTGTTTCTAGGAAGATGCTTAAAGGTTAAAAATAAATAAATATCTGTTTCCTGCCTCTTAGACTGACCCTAAGTTTGATCACTGACCTTAAAAGATTTTATTGCTATTCCAAAAAATTATCCAAGAGGCTGTCGTCTGACTTTGAGTATTCTATGAATCTTATTTCTGCTTGTTAATTAATTTAATTTGTAATTAGATAGAACAAAATTGAGTGAGAATGCTGTCTGAACATTCGAAATTACAAATGTAGTACTGTATGCATATTATCCCGATTTACACTGAAAATCAGGATGAGACTCGGAGAGAGAGCATATAATTTTTTTCAGATTTTGTCAATACAAGATTTTGTCAATACAAAAAATAAAAATCCTGTCTGACTTTTTTTATGGCTCCAGACAGGAAACAAACATATTTTTTGGACCTAATTATAAAAATACCAGTACTTGATACATTGTACATTGTAGGTCAGTTGACTTTTTATTTTATGTAATGATGTACTTTATTCAGAGTTCTCACTAAGAATTTTTGAAGGGGAGTCATGGCCACGCGAGTCCAATAGTGAGATGATGAAACTTTGTTGTTACATAATTTATTATTTCAGTCCCCATGAAAAAATACATCAAGGAATTGACATCAAATTTAAATTATACTTTTGTTTTAAAGTGATGATATTTGTGCTCAGATGACCCAACATTTTACAATCTTGATGCATCTCTGGACCACCAATTTTGAAAGTGATGAGTCCATATACAGATTTTCATGAGTTCAGGGCTCCCCTGAGAAACCTGTAATATTAATACATGTACATATTTAGTTTACACAGAATTGCACAACTTCATGGAAAAAGACTTGCAGATACCACGTGCACATCTTCTTATTTCTATTTGCAGACCCTAGTAGTAATAAATCCTAATAAATAAATAAAATGTACAATGTATCAGAGCTTTCAAGATATTTAAAAATGATTTTCAAAAAACCCCAGAAAGATTCATAGATGTTCCTTCCATGGAGTAAAGAAATTAAAAGTTTGAGACTTAGCTTTGGGTTTTGTCATGCAAGACTGAATGTATACATTGTACAATGCACCTGGGCTTCCAAAAAATATTTGTGCCAGCGGGACATTTATTGTCTTATCCCGATTTTAATCCCCTAAGACTAAGTAACAAAAGGCAATCATGGTAATCAGTTGGGCATCATATAAACAATGATTGACATAAAAACGTTATTAAACTTGACTTTTGATACAAATTCGATGTACTGACATAAACTGTTAAATGGACAGTGCATCATTCGAAGTGTGCAACATAAGTGTACTAATATATGCCTTAGTATCTTTATTTGTGCAAAATAACGTTGTCAAATCTTTACTTTCCTTTTTGAAGGCACATTTTCTTATACCAGATGTTGACTTGGCAATGGTAAAACACGGACCAGAGATGGATACGAAAAATCTGTGTACGTTTACAAAGCACGATTGAGCTTAAGTAGCGCTTTCCATATTATTTCTTCAAGAAAATAATTGAAATGAATGTTAGATAAAGGTATCAATGATAATTTTAGCATTTTTTGAAGAATTCGGATGCATAATTAAATCTCATAACTGGGCACTTGCACACATGTGTACTAGTTTAAACAATGTGGTTCTGACGATTTTTCGCTTAAACCTTTATAACTACCTTTTTAAATTTTTCATCAAATCATATTTATATACATATTTTTGATAATCTAAATTAATCTTTTTGACTAAAATAATTAGATGAAGACTGCTGAAATTTATGAAAATAACTTCTAATAGGCAGATCAATGTCAGGTTCATATTAGTTTAACTTTACCTGTCACCAGAACAGGTAAATTTCAATTGTATGACAACTAATTAACCTTGATTGTAATGAGAGGGTATTAAGTAGGGTTTGTTTTGATAGTATTTATTCACCATGTCACTTTTATGACCGGAAATGTGGCTGTTTAAGGCAAAAGGTCGGGTCAAAAAAATCGCAAAAACTTCAATATTTTCTGAATCATGTTAAAAGGGCAAACCCATGTTAAATGTCTGTTTCAGGTTTGGCACAAGAAGTCATAAATATAATTTATCGGACAATACGACCGTTTTGGAAGCCCTGCCATGTACATGTATATTCTGTCATGAATTAATAAACCATTCCCTTTCTTTTCAATTATAAACTTTCATTTAAACCCTTTGCTAAAGGGGCCATAAATATCTTGTAACAAACCATCATGGCATGTTCTTTCAATTTATGCAGTATTATGGGACATCACAGACATTACAGTAAGGAAAGATACTTGTATCTCTAAAGCCACAGTGTAGAAGTGATTATAGTATAATGTCAGTAGGTTTAGTTTTGTAAACTCTTAAAATAGAGATGAGATCGATGTATTAGATAAGCAAATCCCTCTCCTTTTCTTTTTGGGTGTTTAATTAGTCATATACATTGTGTCATAGTTCAAATTTATTCATTCAGTGTATGTTCACTTGTTTATGTTAATATGTTTTTGATTGAGTAAAGCCATTTCAATTGATATTTTAAAGTGTGTCTTTCTATTTTGTGATGTTACACTATTGTTTCAGGTAGGGTGAAGATTGGTGCCTATTCAAACATTTAAACTCGCTGCATTTGATTGCACCTGTCCTAAGTCAGGAACCTGATGTTCAGTGGTTGTCGTTTGTTGATGTGGTTCATAAGTGTTTCTTGTTTCTCATTTTTTATATAGATTAGAACGTTGGTTTTCCTGTTTGAATGGTTTTACACTAGTCATTTTTGGGGCCCTTTATAGCTTGCTGTTTGGTGTGAGCCAAGGCTCCGTGTTGAAGGCCGTACTTTGACCTATCATGGTTTACTTTTACAAATTGTGACTTTGATGGAGAGTTGTCTCATTGGCACTCATACCACATCTTCTTATATCTATGTAACAGAATAACATTTGGTATGACTCCAAATGAGACAACTTTCCACCAGAAAGTATCTGTGTAATGATTGATTGTTATACAAGAAAAACTCCCATTTTTATTACCAACATATATAGTGCTTTAATTTATTGATCAATGGGAAACAACTCTAGTGGACTTGATGCTATTATGATATGTTTATAAAAAAACCTAGAAAATGTATAATTTAAATGCCAAGGGAAATACACATAGAATAAGGTAATAAAAGACACTGTACCACTACCCACAAGATTAAGGCAGTCTCAGTCTTTAAATAAGACAATCTAATCATCAAAAGTATTAATAACAAAAAATGCATCAAAGGAAATGTATACTTAATTTAATTTAATAACACTTTTAGATATTTGGATGATATATTGGCTCTCAATAATGACGACTTCAGTATGTACACTAAAGAGATTTATCCTGCTGAACTGACTTTAAATAAAGCTAATACTAACTTGTAACAATGAACACTGCCCTTTCATGGATCTTGATATCTATATTTTTAATGGGAAGCTTAATACCAAAATTTATAATAAAAGAGATGATTTTTCATTTCTTATTGTTAATTATCCATTTTTAGATGGTGACGTTCCCTTGTCGCCATCTTAAGGTGTTTATATATCTCAACTTGTTCGATTCGCTCGTGTATGTAACAATGTACAATGTATTTGATTTTAACGAAAGAAACCTCTGTATTACTGAGAAATTATTATACCAGGGTTTTCGATATCACAAACTAGTCAAAACATTTACTAAATTTTATCATTGCTACAAGGACATCATTCGTAAATATAAATCAACATGCAGACATCTTAAACGTTCAGGTATTTCACATCCAATCTTTTATGGTAATATTCTATACAAAGCACAATAATGTCGACATTCACCTCAAAAGCTAACCAAACCTTTAAACAGACTTATTCAGAAGGAATAAAGTTACTATACTGTTGTCAAGTCATTAAAGATGGCATATTTTGTTATTAATATTGATTCACTCATAGGGTCTATGCATTGGAAATAAACACATTTATTCTAAAACCAGTTGTTGGCATGATACGGGTTATGTTCTTCTCATATATTTTATGATGGTAATACCATATGATACTAAACCCCTAACGGGAGGGATTGTGCTTGATTTTCTTATGATGAAGACATAATTATCTTTCAATCAGTTTAATTGAGGTCTGGAGCTGGCATGTAACTGCTAGTAGTCCTTTGTTAATTTATGTGTCATTGTCATTTTGCTTAGTTTATTTTGTTACTTAATCTGACATAGGACTCGGACTTCTTTTAAACTGAGTTTTACTGTGTGTATTGCTGAGTGTATGTTTATTCTACATTGGCTAGAGGTATAGGGGGACGGTTGAGATCTCTAAAAACATGTTTAACCCAGCCGCAATTTTTGCGCCTGTCCCAAGTCAGGAGCCTCTGGCCTTTGTTAG